CATTCAGATAATAGGATAGACAACAGGATCAGGCTTCAAGAAATGCCTTTACATAAAAACATACAGCCTTTTTATCCAGATTTTTATTGCCTCCTCGTTCAGTAAATGGGAATCACTGTCGTGTATTACCAGCATTTTTTCTCTTAACACAGGTCTAATCACACACTTCCTTACTTTGTGGGCTAAAAAAAGGTGTTACAATGGTCGTGTCTGCTGAAAGATCAGCCGAACACTGAAAACAATTATGTGTATGGTGAAATATAAATTCTGCAGAGAAATTATTTTCACTGAAGTGCTTTAAAATCTGAGAATGTTTATCTTCAAAAAGCATATATTAAACAGTACACACTAGTTAGAGAATTTTCACATACAATTCTATGATGTTACACAATAACCACAGACCAGATCCTCCTCAGAGATTTATTTCTGAAATGCACAAACATCACACCCACAGCTGAACAATGCACCTTCTCTGAAGGTGCATTCTGTTGATCCACAGCATCTTTTCTGCAGCTACAAGCCTGACCACGTCCTGAAAAAGAATCTCATTGTAGCCGTAGATCTTCTACCCAATGCTCTGAGCTTCCCTCACAATGCACAGTAAATATTTTAAAAATCATGGTTTACAATTGGAATGAAAAAGCCACATTATAGGTTTTTTAATTTGAGGAGCAAAGTGTAACAAAAAACTAACAGGTAGGTAGATGGTGAGTTCAGTCAAATTCAGACCATTAAGGAAGCAGAGAATCTTAATTTTGAGAGTAATTAACTGCAACAGCTTTTAAGGGCTGTAATACATTATGCTTTACAGTAAACTTAAATTCAAAGCTTGTCTAATTATATAAAAACAAGCCCTAATTCGGTTTTGTGGGGTCTATATTAGTCTGTAAAGGCATAAAAATTTATATGTAGACTGTATTAAGTCCAATAGCTGTTCCTGAACATCAGTCCTCAACATCAACTAAGGAAATTGTTCCAGTGTGTTCCTCCTTCATTAGCGATAGCTGCCCTCTATAGTCACTCCCTCCACCAGCCTACCTTAAAGATACACAAAGCTGCTCTAGATTCTCAGTCAAAAGCAAAGTTCTTTTGTTTTTCTATTCATGGCAATAGTGGTTTTGAACTAGAAAGATGATAAACTGTAATTTTTTCAGTCCTGTAAAAGACACTGCATTTCCACCAGCATACATATTTATTAAGACCAAAATAGCAAAAATAATCCCCCCTAAGAGGAAAAGTAAAATAAAGTTTCTACAGAGGTGTTTTTTTTTCCCCTTTTATAAATCACCAGCTTCATTTAGCAAAATCCTGTGCTTTCTTCTCTCTTTCTTTCCTAGGTGTATGTTCCACTTCAGATTGTAGTTGGCTTAGTTTCTCAGAAATAATAGTGTATCTGTTCCCAGGTGCACATATGATGATGACCTTTGGAAAAATATAAATCATAGCACAATTATAGACTCATAGAATATCTCAAATTGGAAGGGACCCATAAGGATCATCAAGTCTAACTCCCCGCTCCTCACAGAACTACCTAAAACTAAACCACATGATTAAGGGCATTGTTAAGATGCTCCTTGAGCTCTGACAGACTTGGTGCCATGACCACTTCCCTAGGGAGCCTGTTCCAGTGACCAACCACCCTTTCAGTGAAGAAACTTTTCCTAACATCCAACCTGAACTTCCCCCGACAGCTTAATTTTATTTCCTCGCTGGTCACCAGAGAGAGGAGACCAGCACCTCCCCATCCACTGCCCCCCTTGAAGAAGTTGCAGACTTCAATGAGATCACCTCTCAGCCTTCTCTTCTCAGAGCTGAACAAATCAAGTGACCTCAGCCACTCCTCAGAAGTTTTATCCTTAAGGTTTCTCACTGTCTCGGTCACCCTCCCCTGGATACATTCTAATAGTTTGATCTCCTTACATTGAGGCACTCAAAACTGCACACACTACCCAAAACGAGGCAGCACCATGAGGTGCAGTGTAGAGTGGGGCAATCACCTCCCTCAACTGGCTAGCTATGCTGTGCTTGATGCACCCCAGGGCATGGTTGGCCCTTTTGGCTGCCAGGGCACCCAGCTGACTCATATTCAACCTGCCATCAACCCAAACCCCCAGGTATCACTTTCCATGGGTCTGCTCTTCAGCCTCTTGTCCTCCAGTTTGTACATATAACCAGGACTATCCCATCCTTACATTAAGGTTTCTTTAAACAACAGGTGTCAAGAGAGAAAGAACCATTCTCCTTTCTTCATCTCTTCTGGCATCCCTCCTGCTTACAGCTGTAACCTCTAGGCAAAAGACAGGACAGGCAAGGGATGCCTGTAAGAGCCCAGAGGCTCATTGCTCTTGCACATGCTATAACTTTATTTCTCTGGGTTCTATTTCACAGTCACATCTTCTCACTGGAGGAAACTAACAGATCCCATTTCAAGGCCCATCAATGCAACTCCTAATCACATCAATGAAAGTGCTTGCTAAGGCCACAAAGAACCTCCTCCGCACTCCCTGTGCTCTCAATTACTGTCAGACTCCCTGTGATTCCCCCTCACAATCAAGAGGGAAGTCAGGATGAGCAGAGCAAAGGCCGCAGCTTCAAGGACTTCACCTGATTTCCAGGACTGACCAGACAACTGATAGGATCATTGCTTCCTAAGCCAGGGGCTAGCTGGATCCTGTGACATATATATCAATACTGATACCGATATAAAAATAAGAGAAGCAAGAAAAAAAAACAACACAAACAATAGTTTTAGGGAAAACTTCATCCTATAATCTTACAATCTCAAAGACCTGAAAAGGCACAGCACCATTTTATTAATTCAGTCAAAAAGATGAATAGTGCTTGTGCTCCTCCTATTGGCTCTGTCCTCAAAACACAGCTCAGCATCAATGTCTGCAGGAACAAACTTTTTGAATAACCATAATAAAACATATAGGGCTTCATCTGTTTCAAACATGAACTTTGCACAAAAAGCAGACACTGTATTTAATCACAATCAGAGTGAGAAAGGACTTGTGAGACTTGAAAAACAAAACCTGGGAGCTGTTTTGACCGAAATAAAAATAAGAGTTTCTGAAACGCTCATCCTAAACAAAGTGTTGCGAAAGGTACATAAAAGACAGTGCAGAGACATATACCTAAATGAAGAAACGAAGTAAATAAAGCTTACCCTGAATATATATTTCAATCCAAAAGGAGAATCACCAGGCACAGCAATCCGCATGCAAAGCTCATGGACAGCACTGCTGACAGCTGCAGCCAACTACGTGTCCCACAGGTGTTCGGGAAGACTTGAATGAATGGATGGACTTAGCTCCTCCACGGTACCCTGCTGTTGCCCCCCGAGCCCCTGTTGTGCTCCCCAACGCCAGCAGTAGCCGCCCTCTGCCAAGAGCCTGGCTGGCAGCACCCCGACCCAGCCTCAGTAGTGAGCCAGTTTCCATCACTTTGGCTCCAAGACAACCCCTCTGCCTCTGCTCTCTACCTGGCTAACTTCAACAATGAAATCTTCAAGAAGCTTAGAGGAAGATGTGGGTTTCTGTAGTAATAAGGGTAATGTAAAAGGGTGGCTACCTGGAACAATGTCAGATTTTTAGAAAGACCCTTAAGGCTGAGGGGAGACCTGATTACAGCCTACAAATACTTGAGAAAGGATGGTGGGGAGGTAGGGGAAGGGCTCTTTACATTAGTGTTGGGGGATAGAATAAGAGGAAATGGGGATAAGCTTAGTCAGGGGAGATTCAGGTTGGATGTTAGGAAGTATTTCTTCTCTGAAAGAGTTGCCAGCCACTGGAATAGGCTGCCCAGGGAGGTGGTTGAGTCCCCATCCCTGGATGTGTTTAAGAAAAGGGTGGATGAACTGCTTAGCAATATGGTTTAATGGGGATTAGGGACGGTTGGACTCGATGATCTCTAAGGTCTTTTCCAACCTAGAAATCTATGAATCTATGATTAATATTACTTCAACCATATTAATTGTATTCAAGTTTTTTAAGGTAAAAAAAAAAAATCTATAAATCCAGATCACTATTAAGAGCAAAATTTGATCTTGAGAACATCTGAATTTGTCAGTGTCCTTCAACACACAATGGAAGAAACAACAAAGCATGAGCACAACTCTTTGTAAATTACTTTACCTGTTTTCTCCAGCCTGAAGATACGTTTTCGCACACACAGCTAGATTATCTCTGCTCAGATAATATCCTAGTCTAAGCTTAAACTGCCTTTCAGGAAAATCTTTATATTTTAATCTGCTTGAGATTTTTTTGGCAAGTCAAGTTTACCTACGCGGGTAAACCTGAACATTTAGATTATAAATATTGCCTTCCTACACAAGCCATCTTTCCCCATTAGGGTAAGAGCTGGAAACAAAGATTGTGAATTGTCATGTTGGAAAGGGTTATCTGTCTCAAAATCATGTTTAGTGTTTTCTATATGAAAACATGACCCATAAAAATACATATTATTTTATTTAAATAAACCAGATTAGTTGACCACTATTAGCTAATTCTAATTAGTTAAAAAATAAGCAGTAATATCAAACTGAATTCAGTTTTTAAGTCCTAGTCATAGCAATACTGACTACTCGTCCTTGCAGGAGTCACTCATTCCTCTTCCAGTGAACGCATAAATGCGGCCTCTTTGTAAATCCATTCAGAACAAAATACATTCGCATTCCCCCACTACGCTGTGACCAAAGACTCTCTTAAGAGCTACTGAAATGTTATTTGATGAATCTCTTCCTGTATCCAGCTTCAGAAAAAGAGATGCTAGTCTGATGTAGACAGGCACACTGAATCAGAATTAAACTGTAAGCAGATGTCAGAAGAAAACTGTTGGCACTCAGGTAATACCGAGAAAAAAGCAGCAGCATCCCAAATCAAAACTTAAAACCACCGTCACCTGGTTAAGAGGACCCTTTCCTATTTTACTGAAAACTGCCTAATGTTATTCCTCAGAGAAAACACATGATGGCAGCAAACACCAAGCTTTAGCCTTACCTGCACAGGCTGTTCACCTCCTATTCTGAAGTCTTCAAGCTGCTGTACATGCCATGAAGCTATGCCATAGGGCTCCTCAGCAGTCCTGCAGTCCAGGGGATTTGCCCGTAACTGTTCTTTAAGCCACATCTGAGTCCTCACTGCTGGCTGTATGGGAGCCCCACTTACAGCCTGTTGTCCCAGAGTTGCATATCGCTGCCCGAAAGCTTCACCACTGGCTCCCGTAGGTTTGCTTTCAGGTAAGGCACTGTATGTCAAGTCTAAGGCATGTCTCCTACTTGAGGAATCTGAAACAAAATCGTCTCTGCTGCACGTTTCAAATTTGTATTTGCAGTCCAGTAGAGAAGATCGTTTTTTCCCCATTTCTTTGTCCTCAATTTTTAGCAACTCCATGCTATCATGCAAACAACTTGGCCCATTTGTCCTTAATTGTGGTGACATAGCTTTGTCTGCACTGGCCCTGGAGTCCACTGAATGGCTACTGCCATCTTGGCTGAAGGTATTTGGTGAGCTGAGTTTAGACAAGGAGGACCATTTTCTTACAGGTCTTGCATCTTTCATGTCAAGCGAATTGTCCAGGGCACCCTGATTTCTGCCTCCTCCTGACCGTACAAAGCTTGTACTCCATTTTGAGCCATCAGACTTGAAAGCTTCCCTGCGTTTGGAAAGCGAAGAGCTGGCATTAGACGGCATCACATGGGCAGTGGGAATAGAAACCAGTGATCGGCTGGGCTTAAACGAAGATGTACCACTTGAAGTTGAATGATCTGGGAAGAGAGATTTATCATGTAAGTAAGTACAATACAGAATTCATGAACATCAGTGCCCAGAAGAAAAAACATCAAATTCAAGTTGAAACGTAAAAACAGAAGGAAACAGGTTTCTTGACAAAATAGGGTCTTCTGAAACATTCAAGATTATGAGAATGGAAGCTAATTAAAGCGGGAGATTTTCAAGTTTCTTTTGCTCAGGTACTATCATTACAAAACTCTACCAAGCGGTGGCAAGAGCAGCTCCAGACAATTCTCAGGCTGCGGGCAAAAGGCAGAGTTTGTTTCCCAGCTTTGTGGTGGCAGGTGGGATTTCTCCCCCACTTCACATAATTTTAAGTAGCTTCTATATCCCAAATGTAGAGGTATCACAATTCAGGAGCCCCAGGACTGGTTCCTCTTCCATCATACCTCTACTCATTTTTTAAAGGCAAAGCAATTCACTAAATGCACTTTGTAAAATGATGAGCCAGTTTAATGATGGCCTCTTGGACAGAACTATTCATCCCTTTTGGATCTCACCAATTTCAAACTACACTTCCCTAGGTGATCTGCTAAAATTAAGATTCTGAAAAAAATTTATGTTCCATTTAGGCTTTGTGTTATTCTCAAACCCAAATACAACACAACACAGAAACTGTGTGTAGCATAATTTTATGAAATCTATCCCAAGCTGAAATATCAAGACCAGAGAAATCAGTGAGGTGATATTGAGGAAGGGATGGAAGAGCAAAGACGAGAGAGGTAAAGGAGAGGTTACTAGGGACTGGCTGAGATCTCTCACATGCCCTGCAACATGTGCTTAACATCACAGGCTGTGGACAGCCAGAAATAAACACCTAATCCTCTCATTAGAGGATCAGCTCCCACCAAGTCACATGGCTACACCTTAGCAAGCTCATGCTGCTTGTTAGGTTCATGGCAAAGAGACAGAATGAAATTGCTCTAATTAAAAGATTCTTTTGGGCTCCTTTTTGCCAAGAGTAAGACAGATACACTCTTACCTCTCTCATCCTAACATCGAGAGAGCTTATTTCTTTGGGACTTGTCAGCTGGTAAAAGAGGTCAAAGTAGGACAATTAAAAAAAAAAAAATCAAATCAATTGCTCTGAAAGTACAACCCACATACCCAGTTTGATAGCTACACTAGGTTAATGCGATTTGGTGGAGCCCAGAACACATTATGAATTGGGCACACTTTCAAAGGATATAATTGACTCAATGTATCATGTCACATATAAGAAAAAGAGTTTCCAATGGTGCAACAACATTTAAAAATGGCAGCACTTCTTCTACATACCCAAATAAAGAGAATTTTACCCCCAACTTGCACACTCCTCTTTATTTGGGACCAGACTTCCTCACTGCTTGCACTTGCAGCACAACACGAAATAATACAGCCCTATAGCCACGCTCCTCATGAGAAAAATGCATTATAGCCCACAAAGTAATAAATAGTTCCTTAACTGATACCTGTTTATCACATACATGTCTTCTGGCTCCTAAGAAGGTGGGAATTCTTGCTGAAGCCTTCCTGCCTCCTAACGGGTCACTACCCCACCATGTAACCTCCTGTTTCAACGCATAAACTCACATTGTCTCTTACCTCTATCCAGTCGCCTAATTTCACAGTAGTTAAAGAAAACAGCTATTTTTAAGACTTCACAAAACTGTCAGAGTTGGTTGAAATGAAGCAATGGTTTAAGAGTTACAAATAAGGTGCTGATGAAAGCCATAAATGCACACAGGATGCTCACATTAGAGTAAGTGAAATGGATGGAGAATACCAGCAGTTTTTTGCTAATCAGGTTGCTAATGAACATGAGGCACCATTTTTTACACGCAAGATTAAAGGCCTTCCCTCCTCCCTGCACTTCTTAAAAATTCTATACTGCAGAGAGAAACATTTTTCTTGGCTTTTTTCACCTGTCTTGATATCGCCCAAGAGGTGAGACACATTAAAGAGGAAGAAAGGCAGCCTCACAACCCATTTCAAGTGGAAGGAATCACAGTCGTCCGACCAAACACGTTTGTGCCCACGGCTATTGCAGCAGTGGAGACAGTGATACTGCAACACTACAAGTTCCCAAAATTGTGATATGCCCACCACATGTAACCAATCTGCCTGTGCCAGGTGCAGCCTCAACTTCTCTCAGCTCTGCCATCCTGTCTTCTCTCGCACCACAGTCGACGCTTGCATTGATAGCCAACACAAAATCAGGTACATCTTGCTACTCTCAGGGGCTGCAAGTTTCAGGTATTCGGTCATCTCTGGCTAAGGACGTCAAAGCAGTGACAAGAAACTGAGAGAGGTATTTGACATGATGGAGCTGGAGTCTCAAACATATATATTATGAGATGGAAAGCACAGTGTTAGACTCTTGCTTTCTGGGAGCATTCTGCAGAAGAACCGGAAAAGACTCCTGCTCTCCTCAGGAGAGTAGAGAGGAAAACACACAATCGAAAGAATGTACTTCTTCTTGTACAGGTACTACTTAGCCAGAGGCTGTCCTCTTTGTAACACTCAAGCAAACTAATTTTTGGACTGTACCTTACCCAGAAGCTGAACCCGACACAGCACAAAATCAGTTCTGCAAAGGAAGCAGCCACAAGCTTTTTTTATATCCAAAGAAAATACAGTATACTAGGATGCAAAAAGAACTGACTGTGTAGACCTATGTTTTAGGCTATGCAGATTTCTGAGTAGAAATGTCAGAACTGCAAGAAAAAAAAAAGAAAAGAAACTTTGCATATATCTGTAAAAGTTATAGTTCCATACCAAAAAATACGTAGTATTTACTATAGCATTTTCAGACTGAAATACTGAATTGATATCACCTAAAAGTTGTTCAAACTAGAATTAAAACCAATAATAATTAGAAGTGTATGATCTCTCCTTCACCTGTTTTTAATTACAGAGTTATTCATATGTGATAGATTTTTATTTTTCCTTGTTCTACTCCAAATTTAAGCCCTGAGTTAGATCTAAACTTCTTTTCCTCACTTCTCATTCCAAACTCTTCAAGCAGATTTAAACTTGGAACGCCATGTACATCCAGCTACAGCTGATGCATGTCTCTGATAATTTGTCTCAAAGTGAAACACAGCAATTTTGGCTTCAAGTTGTCCTAATTAGTCTTCCCATTAATGCTCACTGAAACATATGAGAAAATTCACACTTCTTCTTAGAGCATATTGCTTCAGTCTGCTTTGACTGCAGGCTCAGCTGGAAAGAGAGCCTGTCTGCATTCTGAAACATCTCCTCACAGCACAAAAAGCATGAAATTCAGAAACATTGAAAATAAGAGAGAACCCAAAAAGCATCATAGAACTTAAAAAGACATTACTACTTCTGTAGCCACAGAAATAAGCTCCATCTGGCCAAATCCTGCCAAACACTTTTTCTAAGCAGCAGATTTTTCCCTTTCATACAGTCAGGGCTAAGCGAATGCCTAGTTCACAACTACAAGTGCTCGCTTCTCAGCATTACTCTCAATTTCACTTCATTGAGATAATATTTATTTGAAGATAACAAGCACTCTTAAACAAGGTTTGTTATCTCCAGAGCCCTTCAGTACTTAAGACTGCTCTCATTAATGAAAACTTGAAGAGACAGGAGGAAAAAACCCAAACATATATATAGCTAGTCACTACTGGTTTTCCTTTGAACAGCATCAAGATCATATGTCCAATTTTGCTTTTCAATTATCCTAGTAACTTTTTTTTGTGCCTACCACAGAGGTCCTTAGAGGACTTATCTAACAGGCATAATGTTTTAATACCTGATCTAGTACTTTCCAAACCATGTAAATAAGAGAGTTGGAAAAATTATATATGAAAAACACACAGAAATATTTCTACTACAACAGGTGGAATAGAAAACGAAGAACATTTCATATGGATTTCTTACTTACTTGTGTTACACTTCTGCACTAATTTCACTACTGCATATCTGGCAAAGGAAATAATGTAACAGAAGCAATTACAGTCTTGACTAAAAACCTAATCACATAAATTTTGTCTAAATGGGAGACAGCACAGCAGAGTCTTTCTTCTGAAAAAGACGGAGAAGAAAGAAACACTCCAACATAAAGTTAATGAACACCTCCTGCTCTTACATTTTCCTGTGCTATGTTTTTTAAATCACTAGTGCCAACTATAATCATCATAACTAAAAGAAAATCTCTGAAGCCACTTCTCAGGCCAGATACACAACTGTATCCTTATCTGTTGTCCAACAGCCAGCCATAACACACAAGAGAGAAGGTTCACTGTAACCCTGACCAACTTCTTCAGCTGCAAATGAAACTAGTGCTTTAAGAATCCCCATCTACAAGATATACTTCTATGTGTGACAATTTCTTCACTGCTCCCAGTCGGACATTATCAAACAGCAGCAGACTAATCAGCTAATACAGTCACCCAAAACTGATAAAAACCAAAATGCATGTGATGCATGTGTTTATAGGTTGGATGCACATCTAATGCCACTGAAAACAGAGAACCTTCCTTATGTGAAGGACTTTGAAATTTGATATTTTATCCAGGCTAGAATTAGAAAACCCTGACCATGGAGTACACCAGTATTAAAAACAGCTGACCTTCTCTTCCTGCCCTCCCCTCCCACCCTCTAAAACACTGACATAGGTTACCCTGATACAGGAAAACAAACTGAATTTTTCTTATTAACTGAGCAGAAGATAAACGGGGGAAGTCATGCCTCTATTATACAAATTGAAGGTTTTGAATAACCTTTAATCACACGGACCCCAGCAACAAGCCACAAGCAATTCCAGTGTCCAACACATGATTTACTGAAAGGGCCATGAGTCTCCATTCTACCATGCAAGCATGTGGCTGCCTCCCAGAAGCCTCCTCCAAAAGAGCTGCATTCAACAACAGAAGTATCTAACTCTCCTGGGAGTTGGTCAAAAAAACAAAGACCATGGGATGATGTGCCATGACAGCAGTATTTATGCTACACGTGTGTTCCCCCA